CTTCTTTTTCACAAGGTCTGACAAGCATTCAGAGTGATTGTTGGTCTCTGTGCATCCACTCAGGTACATAGGATGAGGGTGGTACTTTCTTTTCTTTTGTGTGTGTGTTTTTTTTTTCTCACTCTGTTGCCCAGATTGGAGTGCAGTGGCACATCACAGCCATGGCAGCCTCAACTGGCTGGGCCCATGTGATCCTTCCCCCTCAGTCTTCCAAGTAGCTGGACCACAGGTGCTTGTCACCACACCTGGTTAACTTTTTGATTTATTGTAGAGATGAGGTCTTGTCAAGTTGCCCAGGCTGCTCTCAAGCCCCTGGACTCAGGCAATTCTCTCACCTCGGCCTTCCAAAGTGCTGGGACTATAGGCACGTGCCACTGTTCCTGGCTGAGGGTGGTATTTCAATGAAGGGTCAATGCCAAAAATAGTCTGGATTTATTGTGTCAAGGCTACTACATTATGAAAAAATTTTTTTTTTGTTCATCTGAGGGTTTTGCTTCCGTGCCTATCTGCCACCATTTAGCATAATATGGAGCATGGAAATGGACTAGTTAGCAAGACCATAGACACTAGTAAGTCTTATAAACAACTGGGGATACCAAAGGGACAGAATAAAAGACACAGGTAAAAAGTATCATAGGTAGACAGTGGTAAAGTCTTTCCTCACCTTTGTTTCTTTCATTAAGAAAAATTACATAATACATGCATGCCCAAATGTGCACACACACACAAACACAAAAACAGATAGTACCTAGCTTAAAAGACAGTATGTTTTTGTTTTGTTTTGTTTTTTATACAGGGTCTCACTCTGTTACCAAGACTGGAGTGCAGTGACACAATCATGGCTCCCCGCAGCCTTGAACATCTGGCTCAAAAGATCCTCCTGCCTCAACCTCTCCAAGTAGAGCATCTGGGACTACAGATGCGCACCACTATGCCTGACTAATTTTTCTATTTTTTGTAGAGACAGGGTCTTGCTTTGTTGCCCAGACTGGTCTCGAACTCCTGACCTCAAGTTATCCTTTTACTTCAGCCTCCCAAAGTACTGGGATTACAGGCATGAGCAACTGCACCCGGCCTAGAAATAGCACGCTATCAAAAACTTTGAAAATCCCTGTGTGTTTTTCTTTTTTGCATCTTCAAACCTCATCTCCAAAAATAACCACTATCTGATTTTTTTGTTTATCATTCTTTGAATTTTCTGCAGAATTTTATTACATACATTTTTGTCCCTAAAGAATGTACTGCTTAGTTGATCATTTTTTTGAACTTTATATAAATGTATGTATTCTTTGGTGATTTGATTTTTTTTTCTCACAGTAAAGTTTCTTCATGAGTATTAACTCATGAGTACAGTTGCAGTTCACTTACTTTTATGCTCCATAGAATTCTATGGTGTAAAGTGATTTCCATTTAAGCCAATGATACACTTATGATGTTTCTACTGTTTTATGTTATTGTGAACAATGCTGTCATTAACTTTCTTCTACATGTTTACTTGTATACACGTGTAACAATTTCCCCAGGGATGAAATTGCAGCTTTAGCATAGGTATGTCTTCAACTATATGAGTATTTTCAGACCATGATCTAATGTGAAAGTATCAATTTACAGTTTCACCAGCAGATTATAAAAGTTCCTGATACTCTATATCTTGCCAACATTTGGCATGCTCAAAAATGGTCATTCATACAGAAAATGAATGCCGGCTAACTGACCGCAGATACTCACTCCAAAATCACATTATGCTTTTAAAAGTCAAGGCTTAAGCTATAGTTACTCAAAAGAAAATTGTTCCATCCAAAAGCTAGTAAAAGACAGTGTTTGTATCCATAAGATGGCAAGCATATGTTTTAAAATGAATTCTGTTGATGCTTACAAATTAGTGTTTCCTTTTTCTAGTAAGGAAATTCCCTATAATGTGATGTCAAAACATTTGTGTTAAACTGCTGTGTTTTGCCAAAGAGGTACATTTTCCAGTCAAAACAATTAATTAGAAGCTATTAATGATGTCGTTCAAGATTAAGAAGTCACTGTAAGTAAAGAGAGAAACTGAAGGGGAAAAAATTCACCCAAGTCAGGATGCAGGAGATAAGTTAGTTTGTTGATTTCCATTTGAGAATTTTGCTTTGAATTCTCTTACTCTTCTGCCATCTTTCACCAACTCTAAATCACTTAATTAATAGATCACGGGAGGGCTTTAGATTTATGAAGGGCTGAAACCTCCAACAAAACTCTTGCTTCTCCTCTTAATATTTTAGTCTTTGTAGTATGTTATTCTTATTACAAAAACACGTTGGGTGCTGAAAATCATCATAGTTCTTCTAGTTTCATTTCTGGCTTAGTCAGCGACAGACCATCTGGTAATCATTAGATGAGAAAGTTTGTCAGTAAGATACTTAAATCCCCGAGTCATAAATTATTTGAGAAAGAATTGCTCAGTTTCTTCTAAACTAAGACTCCCTCTCTCTGTCTCTCTCCATCTATCTATCTATCTATCTATCTATCTATCTATCTATCTATCTATCTATCTATCTATATTTAATAGGCAGTACCCAGATGTAAGGATGGGATTTATTATTTTAGTTGATTATGGAGAATGAAACTCTGGTCACACAAGCCAATATCTGCAAAGAACAGTTAACTTTCCATGGTTACATACTACACCCAGGGCAGCTGTTCTGCAAATAATTGTTGGTCATGAAGGGATCAATAGAAGAGAGAATAAAGTCTTGTAGCGAATACTTCACCACTTCCAGAAAAATATGAAAGGTCATACTCTACTAATGGTTGACTCATGAGGTCAGCCTTCACTGTGAAGAGGTGCATGTTGGATTTTGGTAGACGAAGATGACAATGGAGACAGTCAGGGAATGCCCAAGGGAGGCACCATCTCTGGGCAGTTGTAGATGCCATTTTCTGAGAAATAGGAGGGAAAGTTGGCTACAACCTCCTCCGAGGCTTTTTAGACACTTTGCTAGAAAATATTCTCTGATTTCCCTGGAAACTCACCAGATCAAGATATACACATCTCAACATTACTCACACTCAGGTAGAATAGATATAAACAATCAGGAATGTTGCATATATCAATCCCTACTTTGAATTTCTTACCACATATTTCTCAAAAGCTGTCTGTATGTTTCATTCTTCAACAAGAATACAGGCTTCTAAGTGAAGCCTCAGCAAATAAACTTATCATTTAAACTTCTTAAATTAACTTAATTAAGCTTACTTTTTACAACTACACCTATCTGCTCAAGAAAATATGAAACATTTATTTATTGATTTTTGAGTTGGGATCTCACTCTGTTGCCCACACTAAAGGACAGTGGCATGATCACGATGATCACAGTTCACAGCAGCTTTGACCTCCTGGGCTCAGGTGATCCTTCAACCTCAGCCTCCAAGTAGCTAGGACTACAGGCACACACCACCACGTTTGTCTCATTTTATCATGATTATTTTTTTGTAAAGATGAGGTTTTGCTGTGTTTCCCAAGTTGATCTCGAACTTTTGGGTTCTACCTGCCTTGACCTCCCAAAGTGTCAGGATTACAGGTGCAAGCCACTGCACCTGACCAAAATATTTTTATTAATATTTATCCTTTACCAACTGTCCTTAGGTGATCATATTAGTCCTAGTAATGTCATCAGGCTAATTCCTTATTAATCAAGCTCTAGTTCCTTTGGTATCTAAAACACTGTTGGTATTTAATTTTTAAAAACGTTGTCTTAGACATCTGAATTATATGCCCTTTATATTATTAAATCCTTTGTAATAATCCTCTTTAGAGTCTTCTTGCAAATAACCTTTCCGTACGCTCAAATACACTTTTTGAAATTAATAATTTAAAAAATGGGTTGCTATAAATCATACTGGGCTGAGACACAGGAGGGAAAGACATTTTCAAGGGTATACATGGTCTGGTCTTTATGCCAAGATGTAAATACTGAGAAGGTCAAAGTGGGGGGAAAAAGAGAAATAGGACAGTACTAATAGTTATGGAAAATACTGTGGCTCTTTGGCACAGCTCTGCAATAGATACGTGGTGTTTGACAATAATCTTTGTTCGAATATACCTTAATTGGGTGACATAATACCCAATTCCTCTTATGTATTGTCTTTAACTTTCCTTCTTAAAGTGTTCATCTTTCTGTTTATTTGTAGACTGAGTTGTAAATGGATAGGCCCATCTCAGAAGAGCATGAAATGTCAAGGAAGAATTTTCACAAAGGCAGACATCCTCTACATAAGAAATAGTCAGTGTTTAAAGACAGTGGTGGAGAGTGATTCCTTGCCTCAGAGGTTTAGAGACATTATCCTCAAGGAAAGGCCTGACGTGGATTAGTAATTTATCTTTTTCCTAAACCCAATACAGTCCATGGTATGGAATTACAAAGATGATGGATAACAAAAGGAATCCTCTGCAAGAATCTACACTTTGTATTCATTAGTCCTCCCTAATCCAGCTCTGCAGGTGTCAGCAAAGGGCACTTCCTTCACCATGAAGGAATCTGGCCACTGTGACACGTGTGATATAAAAGCAGAAATGCCAGGTGCTGCTGTCCTGAACAATAATTGGTCTCCACTTGCAGGCCCAATGAAGACTGTCACCTTGACTTCCTAGAGGATTATAACCCCTGAATGGACGGTTTCATGAGTGTTTATCATTCTTAAAACTCTGATCAGAGATAACAAGTGAGCATGGTCGCAAGACGCCTGTTTTTGCACCATTTTTGATAAAAGCTTCTCTGCTATGCTGCTGATAGACACTGACATGAATTTCCAAACCACACAGAACTGCTTGAAATCCCATCTTCTCTCACACAAAGCAAGGAAAAAAAAACAGAATTATGCTTGGACATTTAGTTGATTTCTCTAAGCAAGAGCCACTAGGTAAGAACTTTTACTTTGAATTTTTTTTTTTTTGGATGAACATTTGTTTTAAAAACAGAGTAACAGAGGAAAACCGATGAGAAAGAAGGCACACTTTCAGTTACCTTGGAAACTCGGTTTGCAACTTCTCTGCCCACCGTCAGCCCCTGGACAAAGGTCCGGGCAGCAATGAAGGCGCGGGTCACCTGGATCTTCAGTTTGCGGGGTACATCTCCAAATGGCTTCAGCTGATCTGTGTATTTGCTCACACATTCCAGGTAGTCCTCGCTGAAGTGGTACTGAGGATTTATCAGCTGAAACATTCGTTCCAGGAGCCGAGCCCAAAAGTCATTGAGCATTTCCTCTAAGTTCACATTGCCTCCTGTATAGTACCTTTTCAACTCCGTGAAGAGGTCCTGGAAAACTTCTGAATTCTGCATGTACAGCATTCCATAGGTCCGTACAAACATGTCATTGAGTGACTTTTCTGCATTCTCTAGAAGCTCTCGGAAAAATTCTGCAGATAAAACAAGAAAGCAGTCATAAATTAATAACTCTGGAAGGCCCAAGACATCTACTGACCTTAAACACAATTGCTTATAATGGGCATTTTCTTTTTTTTTTTTTAGTTGTAGTTTCACTCTGTCACTCAGACTGGAGTGCAGTGGAGGCTCCCGGCCACTGCAGCCTCTACCTGCTGGACTCTGGCGATACTTCCGTCTCAGCCTTCCAAGTAGCTGGAACTACAGGTGCACGCTACTACGCCTGGCTAATTTTTTATTTATTGTAGAGACGAGGTCTCGCCAAGTTGCCCAGGTGGGTCTCGAACCCAGGTGGGTCTCGGGCTCAGGTAATCCACTCACCTCGGCCTCCCAAAGCGCTGGGGTTACAGGCTGAGCCACCCAGCCCAGCATGACATTTTCAAAAAAAAAAAAAAAAAAAATCCTGTGATTAAGGTGTTAACAGAACAATGAAAACAATATTTTAAATGGAATTTGACCTATATCTATGATCTTGCATGAATCAAATAAAACAGAAGACCCTGTGATTTCCATTTGAAAGAGCATCCATTAACATTAGGAGTTTACCATGTAACATTCCCCCAAAATAGCTCAATTCTTTTTATCCTTTATTGTTAAATTTTATCAAAAACTATGATTTGATATAAACTCAAATCAACATGTGCTGCAAGTATAATGAGCAGAGTATCATTATTACATAATGGTAAGCACATTTACTTTAGCCTATTTACAAATTCGTCCAGACACTAAATTCAATTATATTGCTTTTATTTGGAATAGTCCATAAATAAGATGTTCAAATTAATGTAATATTTTGGACTCTTTCTAATTTCTATATATAGCAGTCAATTAGCAGTCTTCAGACATTCATAAAGCAATTAAACTCACTTAATACTTAAGCAATAATGAACATAATTTCGGTGGCCCTAATGAGACAGAAGGATATAAAGTATCTCGAATTACCATTATACATATAAACTATCACTTTATAGAACTGGAATAAAATATTGGCAATTGGGCTTCCTGGTGAAAAGGTTCTAAATGAAAAAGTGTACACCAATAAATGAACTCATCTGCTTTGCAACAGCACTTGAGTGTTACTGAGATCACTTATGGGATACAAAATATAAAACAGAAATTAAAGCCATTGGGTACCATGAGCCTCAATGGCCCCGTGAAGCTCTCTCAAGAGACACTTCGTGTGAAGGGCCTATCCATGTGCACAAGTAAGCCTGGGTAAAGCAAGTTGAAGTCTTGTCTCATTTAGAGAAGGTAAGTGGAGGTGGATGAAGAAAAAGCTAAGGAAAGATCATGCTTCTAAGTTCATCAATCCAAATTCCTAACAGCAAAGAGATTCAGCGTTCCCTCTTCATAGTTCCCTTCTACTCCCTGAAGTTATGTCCCTTCTCAGAAATGCGTTTCAGGATGGGTGATTTACGAGCACATCTGCAGTTTTTGACCAAAAGTGGCATGTCTCCCATGCCCCACCGTCCCTATTCACCCAATCTTGTCCTGAGCGATTTTTTGTTTCTTAGTTTCCAGATGAAAAAAGTCTTCAAAGGGAAACATTTTGCCAATGTGGAAGAGGTGAAACAAAAAAGCACTAAAAAGCATTAAAATGGACGAGTTCAAAAACTGTTTTGAGCAGTGGAAAAAGCGTCAACAGGTATATTGCATCAAACAAAGAATATTTCAAAGGTGACAACAGTTTAAATATATAAGAATAAATATACAATTTTTTATAAATAAATTCTGGGTTTTTGTGGTTCCCCCCTCATGTTGAAGAGATAGGGCAACATTTTCAAAAGTGTCAAAGAATCAATTTGTCAAAATATTTGTATATGCTGTATGTTGATGTTATTTATGATTTTATGAAATTAAGAGCATTTCAAATCTTTCTTAAAAAAACTCGTACCTAATTTGTCCACAAATGGAAACTACATTAAATTAATAAATACAAGTATTAAAATATCATAAAGAAAATCTTCTAATCTTGAAACCAAGAATGAAAATAGCTAGATCCTATTGATACTGGAGAAGGGTGAAAGGTGTTACAGATTGTGAAGGAAGACAGAAAAGAATGAAAAAAAATCACTGAATTGAAAAATACTAATATAATGAGACTGGAAAGTGGATTGTAATCATGAGTTCTGGACAGACTATTCATTTATCTTCTTTTTGAGGTCAATTATTTTGTTGAACTGAGGAATTAAAGCTTAATTTATTGAATTCAGAGTACTGCCTTCAGCAATGAATAGTCAGTAATCTATAGCTTGGTCTGGATTTGCAAAGAGCTAAAAAAAAAAAAAAAAAGAGAGAGCGAGAGAGAAAAAAATCCTCTGGTGCTCATTGCTCACCAAAGTCTTGAAAAATAAATGTTATGTTCTAGAGACAAAAATTTAAATTTTTCTTTTACTGAGGATAACACTACTTAGACTTTTTCCCTCCTGACATGGTGATTCTAAAATATTAGACTCATGCCCACTTTGAAGGTGAATGGTTAAAGTCAGACTGCCCACTCACTGTGCTTTGTTTTCTTAAGTTTAAATTAGTATTCATGATTGAATACAGAAACCAAGTTTTCATATGCCAGTAAATATGGCTCAAGAAACATTTCACTAGATTCCAAACTTAAATTTCTGTCTAAGGGTGTGTCATTGTCTCAGAAGTTTGCTATTAGCTTCCCTGGTCCTCAAAGTCAAGTTATTATTATTCCTTGTTCAAAATCATTATATGGTTTACTGATCTCATAGTCAAAGTTAATATTTGGTATTGAAAGACGTTAATAGATCAACCAATTATGACAAATGTTGCTACCTTAACAGACATTGATCTTGGATCTTATGAAAAATGGGGAACCAAAGTACTGAGGCAAAACTAATGTCTTCCAGAAATAAGTATCCTCATTGTATTTTCCCTATGCCCGCAGTGTTCCACCTTTTGAAGGTTGACTCTTTGAACAAAGCACTTTATGCTTGGATGAACACTGTTTCTTAACAAACCAAACAAGATGGAGATTCACAAGACAGTTACCTGATCCATTTTCGTGATGAAGTATCATGTCCAAACAATATCAGAGAGATCAAAATTCAAGAACAACATAAGAAAAAAACCAAATCGAACTCTTTGGTTAATCGAAGAGGGCAAAGCTCACATTGGATAAAGTCTTTAGTCAACACAAATTTTTATCTGCTAGAAACAGTTTGGCAGAACGAAATGCTATTTGATTTTTTCTTCTCCCCAATCACAAAATATACATCAAAGGTGGTTGCTTAGGGTTCTGTTATGCTTCATAGGTGCACAAAAGAACTCTCCCAGCCAGCATTAGCCTCTGGGAGGATTTTTTTCATCTAGAGGGGAGATCTCAATGCAAACATCTGTTTGCTGCGGGGCAGACTGTCTCAAGGGGGAGAGCAGCCTTGTAGATAAAAACCACCACTGCTGCAAAAGCAGAAAGGTCTGTGTGATGCTGCCTGAGCTGGACGAGGCCTCGAGGCCTTGTAAGGAGCAAAAGTCAACTCCCAGGAGCCAAGAGATGCCCTGAGGATATTGCAGAAAGACTCCAAATAAAGCTTCCAAATAAATGGACTGAAATGGGACGTGGCACACAGGACCGAAGGGAAGTACTAGCAGGAGAGAAAGGTCAGACCAGAGGCTCTTCTAGGAATTTGCTGTCTACATGAAACAGCAAAAACTTCTCCCATTCAACCCAGATATGTCGTCTTGCTGATGCTACTGTGGATAGACATGTTCTGTGCTGGAAAGGGTGCAGGATTGAGTTAAACACTGGACAGCGTTGTTTTCCTATTCTTGTCTCAAGCTCTCCAAGATACTGTTTGCTAAAAGTCTGTGCAAAAGGAATGTTTCAGAATGGGGATGGTGGCGCATGCCTATAATCTCAACGCTTTGCGAGGCTGAGGTGGGAGGATTGTGTGAGCACAGGAGTATGAGACCAGCCTGGGCAACAGAGCAAAACTTTATCCCTACAAAAAAAAAAAAAATTATTTCGCTGGTGTGATGGCGTGCACCTGTAGTCCCAGCCACTTGGAAGGCTGAGGTGGAAGGATCACCTGAGCCCAGGAGGTTGAGGCTGCTGTGAGCTGTGGCCATTGTGATCGTGCCACTGCACCAGCCTGGATGACTGACTCAAATAAACAAATAAGTAAATAAATAAAATGTTTCACTATGATGGTATAAATCCATATAATGATTACAGAACTCAATGAGTGAAAAGTTTTGGTCACTAGACAGTGGAAATTTTAGCTATACCTGATTACAGGTAGCACTTGTACTATTCTGGGAAGCAGATATGCTAAGTTTCCTTCCTTAAACCCAGAAAGACACACACATGCATGCAAGTGTGTATGTTCATGTAATTCTCTGCTAATCTCTTTCTTTCTCTCTCCCCCAACAAAAGCATGCTAAATCACTTCGGTCAGCCCAGCCAAGCTTTGGCTAATAAATGCCTCAGAGGAGGAGCTGACATGGAGGATAAAATGGATCTGAAAGCTAACATCCTATAAGGTTTGTGATTCACAGACACACAATAAAGTTACCACCCTGCCTCCCCCAATGCCTTTTTCAAGGTTAAGTGAAGAGGGGCATCCTTTCTCATTCCACATATGTCTGTCAGCTTTCAAGTACATCTTTTGAGATCATTTCTCCTTTCAAAAGTCTCCCTGCAGTTGGGCAGGGTGGCTCACATCCACCGTGAGTAGTTGCAACCATTTGGGAGGCCGAGGTTGAAGGATTGCTTGAACCCAGGAGTTCGAGATCAGCTTAGGCAACATGGCGAGATCACATCTCTACAAAAAAATAAATAAATAAATAACCGGGTGTGGTGACACATGCCTCTATTCCCAGCTACTCTGGAGGCTGAGGTGGAAAGATCTCCTGAACCCATGAGGTTGAGCCTGTGGTGAAACCTTGATTGTGCCACTGCACTCCAAGCTGGACAACAGAGTGAGACCCTGACTCCAAAAGAAAAAAAAGTCTCCC